AGCAATCGAGAAAATGAGATTCGGATTTCGAGATGAACTGTTGATGGATCGTAGGCTTTTGTGTGTTGAATTCCAATTTTTTGTTCAACAAAATGTTCCCTCCTTAATTTTGAATGTTTTGAGATTTATGAATGAGTGGGGATCAGAGTTTCTTTACCCGTTTCATAATGCATATGCGAAGAACAATAAAAGAACAATAACTTTAAAATTTTAAAATTTACAAGTCAAAAGTTTGAGAAATTAAATTGGAAGAGATGACATCCAAATTACAGACCAGTAATTACCTTAAACTTTATCCATAAACCAACCAACCAAACACAACCATTTCCCTCTCCCATTCTTTCATTCTACGTCTTTATTTCTCAAACCTTAAGAACACCCATCTTTTTACGTATAATTCCTGTACCCTTCTTATAATTGGGTCTCTGTGCGGCGCGTTGATGGGCTAGTTGACTAAAATTAAGCTCATTGCTCCCGCGGGCTGAGCTGAAGGTGGATTGGCACACGCAGGCCGGCATCGCCTCCAATTGGGCCAGCGGCGGCGGCGCTGATAATACCATACGGGATCAACGGGTTTCCGGTGGCCACGCTCATCTCTAATCTTGAATCATGCCCGTAAACCTGCAGAGATTAGGAACTAATTATCACAATGATTTATGGAATCAATTGGTTGAGGCTTTGTTTGAGAGAGATACCTTTCTGTGCAATTCCATGTTTTCTTGACAAAAGAGGTTTACTTTATTGGCCAGCTCTACATTTTGTTGGTGCATCAGAATTCCCTGCAAATGTTGACGGAGAAGAATTACCCAAGTTTTGTTACTCGTTTAAGGCTCTCATGAAAACCAACAATCTTTTTCCTTTTACCTTTCTGTTCAATTCTTTTATTTCATCGTGTAATATCTGTTCCTGCTTGCAACACAGAAATTCCTATTAATATTAAACCCAGGTCAATTTCACATGATTTAAGAATGCAAAAATGGGTTGATATAAAAACTGGGCACATATCACTTTGTTCATCGTTTCAAGCATTTCATACTTAGGTTAATGAAGTAATTGCACAAGTAAATAAATATCTGACCTTTTTAATTCGGATGCTTTGTAAGCTGAACTCTAATTGGCTCTCGAGACTGTTTAGGTCTTTAATTGACAAACCATAGAGTTGCTCCCCCATTAATTTCCTGTATACAAAAAATATTAATTACATTTAGCATTTTTAGGCATTTGTTACAACATAATTAATCATTCAATACAACAACCAAATTTTCTAATAAGAAGGTAATTAGTTACCTATTATTCTCCTGCAAGTTAAGTAGTTGTTGCCTTAGACCTGATACTTCCTTCTGCCATAACTTTCAGTGTAACAAGATGTTTAGTTGTATGTCTTAATATATCAATAATTTTTAAAATTTCTAATATGATAGAACAAGCAACTTATTCAAAAACTTTCTAAACTTTATAACCTTTTACGTACACCGGACTAAACTTATAATTTAACCAAGCAATTATATTAGAACCGAAATTATTCAAGTAGGCCAGTGGGAGAGAAGTAATTAGGATTTTGTATATATTAGTTGTTAGTTGTGTAAACAAATTTCAAATCTATGGTACGTAATTTTTCAAGAAGGAATCGAGTAAATCTTAAGCAGAATATCACCTATCACGAATATGAAACTATGCATATAATGGAGAAAGAGAGCAAGAAAAAGTTGGATTGATGGTGGATGTATTCATATGTATACCTTGACATCAGAAATTGGATTCAACAGCAGTTCATCTTCCTCCTTTCGTCTGTTATATTTCTCAATTACCGACTCTATGCTGACCAAAACAAATCTCAAACTAAAATTTAAATTTCTTTCCACTGGATTTCTTAATAAGTAGAACGGAAATACAGATACGAAGACGAGCAGAGCTGAAAGATTAAGATGTCGAGATTATTTTGAAGGGAAATGAAGATAGAAAAGAGGGCGAACCTAGTGCTTGCAAATTCATACTGTTTGCCAGAGCTGGAGAAGATAATGAGAGCAACTTCGGCATCGCAGAGAATAGAGAGCTCTTTAGCCTTTTTAATAAGTCCCTTCCTCCTCTTGGAGAAGGTCACTTGTCTGCTCGCTGAATTATCGATCCTTCTTATCACAATCTTCCCTCGACCCATCTTAGGGTTTCTTCGCCAATTCCCTGACATCTCAACTCATTCATTTATACCCTCAAATAATCAAAACCACGATCGAGGAAATAAGCTTTATACCTTTTAATTTCCAACCACAAATCTGCTACACCTTCCTCCGCCGCCCAACTGGGTTATCTTCTTCTTCTTCTTCTTCTTCTTCTTCTTCTTCTTTCCCCCATCAGGAGATTTTATGATGGAAAAGAAAAATGTGCAGTCTGAATCAGTTGGGATGGGGAATATATAAATTATATTAAACTATGCTACAATTTGTTTCTACCTCAATAAATGAAAAATACTTAATATAATATTATTAATATGTTGGTATCTTATTAACTAATGTGTTTTTACTTATTCAAAATACACTTTTGTTTTTTTTATTTTTATAATTATGGTATTTTTTGATGATTATGAATAAATTGTTTTTTTGTAATACAGCTTAAGGTCGTAAGTAGAGTGGGATGTTGTTGGAATATGATCCCTTTTGCACAAATATTTGGCTTATGTTTTGAATTTGTTCGAAAGATTAGTGGGCAACAGCTGTTTAAGTACCTAATTAGTTCCAGTAATATGCGTATATGTGCATTTATAACATGAGATTACAACGTTGAGTTAAAGAAAAAAAGGTGATTAAATCCAGAAGTTCATATAATATTTCCAGTTGGGGGGGGGGGGGGGGGGGGGGGGGGGTCAGAAATTGGTCGGTATAGCAAATGGTATTGGAGGCAGCTGTGGAGTGTCAGGCGCAACAGGTCTGAGTTGTTTTTGGAACTTGAAAGGTTACCCCCCAAAAAATGGTGTGGTTTTTGAAACTTTAAAGTTTCCAAAAAGGGAAAGTTTAATGAAAAGAGAACGGGAGAATTTGATAACACAATTCGGAACTTGGAATATTACCAAAAACTGGAGCCTTTTTGGAACTTGGAAGTTACTATTTCGGGAAAGTAAAGTAAAGCAAAGCAATTAATAAAGATTTCATTTTGATGTAATTAAGTTTAAAATTTGAAAAAATTTAGAAAATTAGAGGATGTTTGTTTAAAAAATGGCGTAGTTATTAATAAGAGGATGGGAGGAATGTAGAATGATGGAGGGTTGTGGTGAGTGTGATCGAACTCGGATTCCTATTGGGTGAGAGCACGTGAAGATGATTTGGTTTGGCCAATAAGATTGGGTGTGTGGCTGAAAGTTCCAATGAGGGCCTGTGGATTAAGGAGACCCAAATTCAAATTCCCCATTAAATTACTCCCAATTGGCTGCTTCTATCGGAGAGCCCAGACAGGTGTCAATCATCAACAAATCATGTAACACCCTAACCCAAGAATATCAACTTCTGGATTTTTGTACATATTTTTTTTTTATTTTCCTTTTTCCTTTTCCAGATGTGCACGTGACGCTACTTTTTAATCATAACTCTCATACGGACAGATCCATAGTTGTGTACAGTGGGGCGAGCCTTGTATATTAAATGAATGTCTATTTGATCCAGTAGCTGTGAAAATTCATTTTCTTACAATTAAATATGTGAATTCTCTCTGCTTGTGTTTACCAACTACGAAGAAGAACTCAAAGCCTCGAAGCATTCTCTCTGCTTGTGGCCCATACCATCGGTTCTTGTCCTTCTCTTCTCTTTCAATGCTACCATACATACTAAAACAAACCAAACCAAACCTTAACATACCCTTGATATTCATATTTTAAACGCTTGAAGAACTAAAAGTAGCAACTCTACAATTTCAGACATTGAGTATTTAATATCACAATTGAGACGGTTGAGTATTTATATTAATACTGTAGTGTTTACCAACTACGAAGAAGAACTCAAAGGCTCGAAGGTATTTGGTGTTGACTACGTCAGTGAATCATTAAGGACGAGGCGTGCAACTGTGCATTTGCGAGCCTGCGAGGAGGATAGCAATCGTGCATGTGTGTCTTGTCTGAGCTTACAAGGAGGAGCATTGTGGCAGCCGAAAGAAGGAAGAACGAATCATTGTACTACTTGGTGCGCTGGGTAGTAGGCCGCTGGCCGAGAAAGAACCAAAGAGGAACACACGGGTTGGGCCTAGCTCTTCTTTTTTCTCTTTTCTTTTTTAGTGTATTTGGTTTGGGTCGGGTTGACCTGGTTCTTCGCACGTTAAACTCACCCACCCTTTGTTCTAACCGTTTGAATTCAAAAAAAAAATCCGTTATTCAATATTTAAATTATGATTTGTCGTGTTTCGTTATGAAATTATCGACAGCATGTAATATGGGCTTAATACTTTAATGGGCCTTATAGGTTCTGTGTTTCAAAATAAAAAGGGCTTGGGTGCTGAGGCCCAATTTGGTTACCAGAAAGAAGGTTGGGCTATATATATATATAAAAACAAATAATCCAGATTTAAAAATAAATAAAAAGAATCGATAATTTTAGGCGCATTTAGCTGCCTGATGTGTAAAGCAGCCAAGTCAATAAAATTTAGTTGGTGGAGAATATAATGTATAGATTAGAAAAAGGGTTGGAATATCTTTTTAACACAGAATTAGAGTTCGGGATTACGTTCCACGGTGTTCAAAAGTCAAGAGAGATTAAAAATAACATTGACTCGTACGATTATTATACTACGAATCTTGACCTCCACAATAGTATGATATTATCTATGAATTATCCTAATTAATTAATTAATTCATATTATTCGTTTAGGGGTATGTGTGTGAACTAACGTAAAACATTTGAAAATGGTTGTAGTTTTACGGTAATTAATTAATCTCCATAGTGGGTGTTAACCTAATTGTTTATGTAAAGTTGTTAAAGTCTACCAAATGAATGAATATAGTTCCAGGATAATGTCAAAATTAGTTATGCGTTAAATAAAATTAATTAAGGTAACATTGAATAGTAATCTATAAATAAAGTTATTTTAGTATTTGCCATCACATTCCTTCCATACACATACCCTTGCATAATAAAATATTATATGAGTAATATATTTTTTATATATATGGTTGAAAGATGGAAAGTTGGTTGGTTGGAGGATTTTTTATACATTAAATAAGTTTCCAAATATGAAGATTTTTTATACTATATCTTACAACATTCCATATTCCACATTTCGTCTCCTTAAAGTTAAAAAACAAGGTTTCTCCTCTGCTGGTTTTGCAAATATTCTGTTTTTGCCGTCTGGGGTAACCTCATTATTTATTTACTTTAATCCATGCAACCAAATCCATTACAGCTTCTTCTTATTTATTTAAGCTTTAATTTGTATAAATGTTTTGATGAAGTTCATCGACATCGTCGTTGTTCGAAACTGCTACAGCAAAAGGAACAAATGGAGAAGAAAGGCAAGGCAAGAAGGCAGCGCCCATACTGGACCTGGAAACTTGGGTTCTCAGCAATGCCGCTCCTTTTCTTATTCTTCAGTTTAACCCTCGCCCACAAGAATTCCTCCCAACGGTTACGTTCTTCTTCTTCTTTGATTTTTCGTTGTTGTTTTGATTTTGATTTTGATTTTGATTAGTTCTAATCAATTGCAGAAGAATGGTAAGAAAGTTGGTGAAGAACAATGAATCTATGTTGTCGCGCGATGTAACGGTAGAATGGGAGAATCGTGGACAGGTGATTATCTGCTAACCAAATTCTTCTTTCTACGCCTATATTTTTTATACCATACTTGACGCTAAATAAATTTCAAAATAAGGGAAGTAATTATTTTTTGGTTTCAGGTAGTAATGGACAATGGGTTAGTTCGAATCACTTTATCCAGCCCAGAAGGCAACGTCGTTGCCCTAAAATACAATGCCATTGATAACCTACTTGAAATCCGCAACCCACAATATAACAGAGGGTAATTCTCTCAATTTTCTTTTATATATATATATATATATATATATATATATATATATATATATATATATATATATATATATATATATATATATATATTTTTTTTTTTTAATTTACTCCCTGTTAAATTAATTAGACATTTATTATAATTTCAATTTTTTTTAAAAAAATTGAAACCAACTATTATATCGAGGAGAACAAAACATTTCTTATAACCATAATAAGAATTGTGGCTTGGTATGAATGGAGAGATCTCATATTGGTTGAATTGGAAAATAATGGTATGAATTGTAGCGAATAATGTTTTAAAAACCTAAAGGGAATGCTCTAAAGGAAAAGTCTGAAGACAATTGCTAGGGGTAGGGGTGGGTTTAGATGGTTACACTAACCGAGTAGTTTATTTAATATAATTATTTATATGAGAAATAATAATGGACCCTTTTAATGTTATTATGGTTGACATGTTGTGTAGATATTGGGACGTGGTTTGGAACCGCCCAAATAGAGGTAGTGCCACTGACAGGTAACTACTGAATTTATATATATTTTTTACATTATTGGTTATAGTTTAAAAAAAAACAATGAAAATATTCTACAATTTCACTTTATAATGATGCCTTTCCAGAGTAAGGGCGACGGATTTCAAAGTGATTACGGCCACCACCGACCAAATAGAGCTTTCATTCACCAAAACTTGGAATCCTAATTCCCACTCTTCCTGCCCTTTGAACATAGACAAAAGGTGCTCCTTTCTCCTTGCTTTTTTTTCAAAGTTAAATGAATGATATTAATTAAGTTACAATGTTTAGGTATATTCTCCGGCGCGGCGATTCTGGGTTCTATGCATATGCCATATTTGAACGCCTTGATGGATGGCCTCAAATTGACGTTGATCAGATTCGAATGGTCTTCAAAATTCTAGGGAAAAAGTTAGTGGTGTGCTGTTAAATTTTCTCCTTCTAATTTGAAATATAATTTATATTTATCCCTTGCTGTATAATCAACGGTCAGATTTCATTACATGGTGGTATCGGACGACAGACAGAGGATCATGCCAACGGCAAGGGACCGTGAGACCGGCCATCCTCTGGCTTATCGGGAGGCGGTTCTCTTAACCCAACCCATCAATTCTAACCTTAAAGGGGAGGTGTGAATAATTAAATTTTGTGAAGTATAATTTAGGATAATAATGTGTGATTTTAATTGAGGGAATGATTGGGTGTGGTCCAGGTGGACGATAAGTACCAGTACTCGCTAGAGAATATGGAGAATAAGGTTCATGGATGGGAGTCGATGAACCCACACGTGGGGTTCTGGATGATCACGCCCAGTGATGAGTTCCGCACGGCGGGGCCCGTCAAGCAAGATCTTACTTCCCACGTTGGCCCCACCACTCTCTCCGTAAGCCCACCCTACACACCCGTTTCCTTTTTTTTTTTTTTTCCATTCGGTCCCATGTTTATAAAAAAAAAAAAAAAAAAAAAAAAAAAAAAAAAAAAAAAAAAAAAAAAAAAAAAGATGTTCGTGAGTACGCATTACGCGGGTAAAGAAGTTTCTATGAGATTTGGAGAGGGAGAGGCATGGAAGAAGGTATTCGGACCGGTCTTCATTTATCTAAACTCGGGTCCGGTCGGTACTGGACCCGGTTTACTTTGGGAAGATGCTAAAAACCAGGTATTTTTTTTAATTTTTATGATTAGACCTTTATTTATAGGAAAAAAAAGGGGAACCTGAAAAATGGAAATAATTTAAAATCAGATGAGGATAGAGACAAGTAGGTGGCCATACAGCTTTGTTGGATCCACAGATTTTCCATCCTCAAACCAAAGAGGAACCGTAAGCGGTCGGTTATTAGTCCGAGATAGGTTGGTCTTTCTCCCCTTTACTCCCTTATTTGTGTTTTTCATGTCTCTGTCCTTTTAAGGTTTAACAATAAAATCGTGTCAACGTCATTTTTATTGGCAGACATGCTAAGAAGTGGTTGATGTGGGGCGATTCTGCGTATGTTGGCCTTGCAGCTCCCGGGGAATTGGGGTCTTGGCAAACAGAAAGCAAGGTCACTCATAAATGGTTAAATTATTGTATTTTCCATTAGATGGAAGTAATTGACCATTGTCTTCATTTTAGTAATTGACCATTGTCTTCATTTTCATTGACAGGGATATCAATTTTGGACACGGGCAGATGGGCAAGGATATTTCTCAATCAACAACATAAGGCCTGGAAACTACAATCTATACGCATGGATACCTGGTGTCATCGGTGATTACAAGTACGCCAATGACATCACTGTCACGTTGGGGAGTACTACCCGCCTCGGCTTACTGATATACGACCCTCCAAGACAAGGCCCAACTCTGTGGGAGATTGGCGTCCCAGACCGGACAGCCGCCGAGTTCTATATACCGGATCCCCATCCCACCCTCATGAATCGCTTTTACAACAATTCTGATATCCATACCCCAGATAAGTTTCGACAGTACGGTCTTTGGGAGCGCTACGCCGAATTGTTTCCCCGTCAAGATCTAGTCTACAACGTCGCCACCGATGACTACCGCCGACATTGGTTCTTCGCCCATGTCACCAGAGCCACCCGTTTCGGTACCTACCAAGCAACCACGTGGCAGATTGTGTTTCGTCTTCAAGGGCCCAAACAGAGCGGGAACTATATGCTTCGGTTGGCCTTGGCTTCCACTACCGAGGCGGTGGTCGAAATCCGGTTCAACAACCCGTTGGCCAGACGGGCTCATTTCTTGACCGGGTATTGGGCCTCGGGAAGAGATAACGCCATTGCTAGACATGGGATTCATGGGCTTTATTGGTTATTCAACTTCCAGGTTCCAAGTGGATATTTGGTGGAGGATGAAAACATTATCTATCTTACACAGAGACGACATATGGGACCCTTTCAAGGAGTGATGTACGATTACATACGGTTCGAAGGCGTACAATAAAAAAGGCAAATACTTACACAATTAGGCACTAATCTTGTAATTTGGGCTAGTTTTGATTTAGTTAACAGATTTTTTTATTACTAGGCATTCATTTAATTAATGATTATTAAAGACCCAGTTTCTCTGTGCTTTATCTTGTTGATTAAATATATTAATATAACCCAATTACGAAAACATGATTTATTAGACGAAGAACATCAACTAATGCTCTGTCAATACATCCATATTAGAAGGGTGACAATTCTCAGATAGGTCATTTTAAGTGCTAGCCTTCATTGTGTTGCCAATGTCGATGACGAATCGATATTTGACATCCTGTTTTATCATCCGCTCCATGGCGGTGTTGACGTCGGCTATCGGAATCACCTCAACATCCGCAGTTATGTTGTGTTTGGCCGCAAAATCAATCATCTCTTGCGTTTCCTTCATCCCTCCAATGCAACTACCCGACAATGTTTTCCTACCTGCATATTGTAAGAGCAAAGGGTTTAGATCTTATGGAAAGGATTTCAGGGTAAAGCTAATAATAGGTTACCTACCCCCAATAAGAGCGAAGGCTGGGACCTCGAGAGGCTTCTCTGGTGCACCAACCAGAACAAACTTTCCATGTGTTTTCACAAGAGAAAGCAGAGGAAGCAGGGGATGTGAGGCAGAGACTGTGTCTATGATACCATCCAACGTCCCCTTAGCAGCCTACGCCAACAAATATGATATCAAAACACAACCAAAGTAGCCATACAAATTCAAAACACTTTTTATGAGACCTGGAAATTCTCACCTGCATCTGCTCTTGATCACGGCTGACCAAGAATGAATCAGCCCCAAGACGTTCAATAGCCTCCTGCTTCTTGTTAGGCGAGGTGCTGATCACAGTGACCTTAGCGCCAAGGGCCTTAGCAAATTTGACAGCTACATGGCCAAGCCCTCCAAGGCCAACCACGCCGATTTGCATTCCAGGCTTGTCAAGTCCATAGTATCTCAAGGGGCTGTAAACCGTGATACCAGCGCAAAGCAGCGGAGCCCCGGCGTGCAGAGGGATGCTGTCAGGAATGCGAACAATGAAGTGCTCGTCGGCGACCATACAGTCGGAGTAGCCACCGTAGGTTATGGTCCCATCGGAGTCCTTGGCGGAGTAGGTGAGAATCATTTTTGGGCAATAGTTCTCAAGGTCGTTGGAACAGCTATCACAGGAGCGGCAGGATCCGACCATACATCCTACGCCCACTCTGTCTCCAACCTTGAAATTCTTTACTTTGCTTCCAACCTCTGTTACCTCACCCGCGATTTCATGCCTGCAAATCCAAACCAATAACCACCACACTTGAAACTTAGAACATCATTATCTATCTTAAAAGGGACTGATTCAAATCTGTAGACCGAAAAGGACGTACCCAGGAACAATAGGGTAAATGGTATTGCCCCACTCGTTTTTCAACATGTGAAGATCAGAATGGCATATCCCACAGTAAAGAACTTTAAAAGCTACATCATTTTCCCCTGTTTCTCTGCAACCACATTTCCTCGGTTCAACTTCAACCAACAAGATATATATATTCATCTTGTCCATTTAATATTCTAAAAAATAACATGTAGATTTGAATCCCTGGAATATTCTAGATAAAATAAAAACAAGAACACCAACCCACATTCGTGGAATCAAATATTAAATAAAAGAAAACATAAGAAGAAACAAAACAAACCCGACCAGGGATTAGGCATTAAAAAATGACAAGGCAGTATGAGTAGCAGTACAATAAAGGGACACACTTCATTAACCATCTTAAGAACACAAGAAATCAGGTCTTTCATTTTCTTGGCATTGATTGTGTAAAAGAAAGAAATAGGAAGAAGAAAGACGAACCTTCGGGAGAATTTAAATGGAGAAAGAACGCCGGAGGTATCTCTGGCAGCCCATCCAAAAGCCTTCTTAGGGTGCTCTTCGGCCGGTGATTTCGCCATCGTGATCTCTTCTTAGACACGGCAACAGAAACAAGATCTCGAATACGAAAATGTGGAAGATCCTTCAGCAATGGAGGAGTGCTCGGTCGCAGTTGCAGATTTGAAGGCCAACGAATGCTTTCGCTACGATACGGTGTCGCTTTATAATGAATGGCCTGTTGCGTTTTTTAAAATTAAAAAAAAAATAATAAATTTCTATTAAAAGAAAAAAAATGCACATTTGGGCTGGGCCAGTGCGGGTCGGGTCGAGCTGACATAATGGGTGACCTCAGCTGATACCGTTGGTTTGATTTAGACATTTACTTTTCCTCCACCCCACATCATTTTCTGGACCGAGCTTCGTGGTTCGTGAAAGTAGTTCGAATTTATTGGGAACTCAAATTTATCTTCATTCTTATAAATATTTGTTCAATTTAATTTGGTTTGATTTTGTATTTAAAATTTTAGTATTGGAATAATTAGGTTTGTTTTTAAGAAGCGTCTCCCAATTGTTGACGGAAATGAGTTTTGTTTTTTCTATGAGATTCTAGTAACAACTTACCTAATTCAATAGTATAATTATAAATGATATCAATACAACCGTTTGATTTATACATCTTTTTCAACTAAACGTGCAAAATTAGGGAAATAAAATGGTCACTGAGATAGAGAATTTACAGAGAAAAATATGGTGTGCAGTCCTTAAGTTGGAAACTTAGCTGTTTGACATTAATAAAGCTCCATAAATGCAATTATACGAATTACCAACTTAAAATTGGTGCAACTTACCAACCCCGCAAGCCCCATGTAAATTAATTTAAATTTCCAATATTAAAATAATTATTTTTTTATTTGCTTTGACGGTATAATTGCAACCAATAAGTACGGGAGGAAATATTTAGAATTTATTTACGATGGTAGGTGATAGTTTAATAGTTAACATATTTTCGACTAAAAAATTAAAAAAAAAATATTAATCATACAATAAAAAAAATAAACGAAAGAAATTAAGCATACGTAAAGCTTATAAACATTGAAGTTTGCATAATTTAAATCTAGACTAATATTTGTATAAATAACGCAACTAAACATTAAATTATAGAATTTTGTTTTAAAATTAAGAATGAACATCTATTTTTTAAACATTTGAAAGATAAAAAAAGAAAAGATTAAATTCTCTTTCAAAATCTAAAATAATAAAAAACCAACCAAAAAGCCAAAATTTCCATAATTTCTTATTAGTCATGACTAAGAAAAGTTGAAAAACAATGTGTACGAGTACGAGGGAACCGACAGTTTTGGTATCATCTGGCACAGTTGACGGTGTGCGAGTCAACCAAAAAAGCACGCCGAAACCCGCATTTCACATGCTAAAATGTCCTACACGTCACTCCAGTATGAACGCTTGAGTTGAAATAATGTCCGCAGAAAACTAGGAAGACTAGAAGAATCCAGAATGCCAACACATTCCACATGCTTCCCATTGAAAATATGGCATATATCGAAGGGCCTTCGCAAATCAAAGTCATTGCAAAATTCGTATTTGCTATCTGGGCCCAATAAAAATATCCAAGAATCCTCTTGGGTCTCCGGATGGGCTAGCTTTATACAAAGGGTTGCTGCTTATCCTAATCTGGATGAATGTGAGAAGCTGCTTATCCTAATCTTTGTCGCTGCCATAATTGGGTCAATGCCTTAAAGCTAGAAAGCTAGAAAATTTAGGGAATTAAAACAAAGAACCATGGTCGAAATTGATTTTAAATGATCTGAATAGGTTTTGAATTGATTATGAACCTTACCCAAATGATATTTTTCCCATAATCCGTATGTCAAAGTGTTAGCCAGATTGAAACAAAATGGGATAGGAGGAGGAGACGAAGAAGAGCACCGTGGCAGAGGGGGTTGGGTTTATTGGCAATTGCAGAAGCAGAGTCAGAGCACGCCTAGCCGTACTACTCTTGGAAGGCGACCATACCGAGAGCAAAACACACAAAGTTTACCCATTGGATAAAGCTACGAAAGGAAGAGTGCGCGAGTGTGTGAATCCCATGTCTCACATTGCAGGCTGATGGCGATCGATCATCTTCATTCCAACCCCTCTTCTTTCTGTATCCATCTAAATTCATACAATTATTAATATCAAAATAATGTCTCCTACCACCATTCCACAAGTGGATGTTACATAAAATTATAAATAAAAACCTGATATTGCACAGACCAAATATAATAATGTGTTTCTGTTAAACTTTTATGTATATTCCTTATTAAACCTTCAAAATGGAGATCTCATCTGGGCAGACGGCCCTAAGTAACCGGCTAAAATACAATATCGGTTAGTCGTGGGCTTTACTAAATTATTTTAAAAAAACAAACGAAGAACACAGCCCTTTTAAAAATTAAACTAGAATGGAAGAGTGGGACCAAAATGAATGGGCGGGTTAAAAAACTATTGTCAAAGGTAAGGCGCGCGTGTAAAGTTGGTCCAAGATGGATGGATAGAAAGGGGGAGAGAGAGGGGTGTGGGGGGACACATATATTGAGTTGAAAAGGGACTGTACAAGGGAAGGGAAATAGACAAAGATGCTTGGAGTGGCAGAACTTGACACCACCTCGTCTCTGCTCCCCTTAATTTCTTCTTCTGCCGCTGCTGGGCTTACCCAAAACACCCACCACACCACCTTTGCTTCATAACTCTCCCCCATTTTCTTTATAATATCAGCTTTCTACTACTCAACGTATTATATATTCATACATTGCATGATTATAAATAACACTTTTATCTAATACCATTTTCTCATCTGGGATGAACAGAGTCGAAGATTTAATATGGTATTTCAAAATTTGAAAAATTAAATGAATTTATAAACCTGTTGTGTAGTGTAATGTGAAACGTACAATCCAAGAACCATTTTAGGAAGCAAGGTTCACCAAATGTATTTGATCATTCAATGAATCTCAAGAGAAGATGATCAATTGGTTGATTTTTTTTTTTTTTTTTTTTGGATGGGATTAATATGTATATTCCATTCAGAATTCAGATCTGAGAAATATAAAAAGAGAACCCAACTTTCACCCATTTAATTTAAAAATCACAGACGGGTTCCTCTTTGATGAAAATCACAGGCAGCCATCAGCCTTCTTTTTCTCTTCCCTCTCTTGTTTCCCATGCATGACTCCCGCCCCATTTATTTCGCTTTGCCATCTTCACTACGAAACTCAACAACCCCGACCGCACCCCTCCAACTATTTCCTGCCCCTTCTTCTTCTTCTTCTTCTTCTTCCCTCCATTTTTGTCTCCCAAAAAGCTGTCTCCAATTGATAACCAAGAATTCGATAGATGTTGCCGGAAAAAGCAGAGGTCGGGGGTTGCCGGTCGAAAAATGATCAGACAAAGCCGACATCAGATCATCAGCAGGCACTCAAATGTCCTCGTTGCGATTCCCCCAATACCAAATTCTGTTACTACAACAACTACAGCCTAACTCAGCCTAGGCATTTCTGCAAGACCTGCCGCAGATACTGGACTAAGGGTGGGGCGTTGCGCAACGTTCCTGTTGGCGGCGGCTGTCGGAGAAACAAGAAGGTCAAAGCATCATCGTCGTTTAGGCTTCAGACATCCAAGGACGACTCCGGTTCGTCCAACCCGGAAATTGGCCGGTTGGGTTTCTTCGTCAACGGGTTTGCATCGAGTCAGCTAGGTGGAAATCAAAACTCGGGGTTCTCCCCTGTTCCGTCGACTGGTCTCTATGATCAGTTTGGAGGTTTTTCTCTCGACCAAACGAGGAGCCCAAATTCCATGAATCCTTCGACCGGATTTATTAATTCCCTGAATTTGGACACGAGTCTCGCGTCTTCCATCGAATCTTTGAGCTCCATGAATCAAGACCTCCACTGGAAGCTGCAGCAACAAAGGCTGACTATGCTATTGGGCGGACACAACAGTACCGCCACTAATAAAAACAGAGGAGTTTCCTCTCCAATCCCACTTGAAGATCACGCCCAAGAACTGAACCCAGGCTCGTTTCGGAATCTCGAGATCTCCAAACCAGATGCTTTCAATTCTTCCGGTTTCAACAATGCAAGAGAAGAAACAGTAGTCGGAGCCGGAGGAGATTCTGCGGCGGCCGATGAGTGGTTCTTTGGGGATTCTTATGCACCCTCCTCAATGATGGCAGGCACGGTGGGTGCAGCGGCAGCGGGATATAACTCCGGTGACAGCGCTGCGGCGGGGTGCGACGGTGTTCGAGAGTGGCACGATTTGCATCAGTACACCCATTTACCGTAGACCTGAAGGTAACCCCCCACGTAAAGAAATCAAGAGACTAATGTTGTGATAAAATCAAATGTGGATATAAAAGTGATGAATGTATTGAGATGAATTTTCTGGCGATTGTTTTGTTAGAAAATACAAAGAAAGGGTGTTTAAATTATTTAATAAATTTCGAGTGTTTAAATTAATTAAATCCATGAAGAAAGCTTTCATAAGTTCTCAACTTACACGTCTCTATGGTACATGAAGCATGTTCATGTTGTGTATAAAATAAATTAATACGCAATGTAAAAATGAATAGTACCACCGAATTCGCAGTTCACCCCTTTTCAAATGGACGGTGGAGATTAAATCCATCGATGAAAGATGTTGCTGTCAGTCCACGCTGTCGCGACGAGAATTAGGACGTGTCGGCGTCGTGGCGTTGCCGTTTAACGTTTTTTTTTTTTTTTTTGGATTTGCTGTTGCATGCATGCATGCATTGCATCGCATTGCAGTGAGCTGCGTTGCTACTTTCCAGCGCGCGTTATCTGCTCCTTTTCAACACCTTCCCCCTCTTCCTTTTTTTGGTTGACTTCAGGATTAATGCGTTACGGATACCATTCATTTATTTATTTCTAGTATTAAAAGCTTGTTAATGCTTGTTTTAGGAATACAATAAGATAATAATATCTAAATTTATAAAGCTAATTTAATTTATTTTAAATGATGGTAGGTATATATGAGATTAAATTTTGGTTAATTCAACTTGTTATATTAAATAGTGTTGTTATATAAATAGTAGATAATATAAGTAATGTATTTATGTTGTTTATAAATTCGTTATAAAGTATATCGTTCTAATAATGTGTGTATATCATCGTGTGCTCGATATAG